CCCTTTATTTTACTTTGTCTGTGGTTTGCTGTTCCTTCTATGGGCCACTGTTGCAAAGATGGCCATCATAATTATCCCTCTCCAGTCGCAGAGAGACGTTGTACATGGAACTTTATCCTACATTTGTTGACCCTTGATTTATTCATTTAGTCTTGTCATCTCAAAGTTCAGATTCAGATTTCAGCATTAATTATTTATTTGTCTGTTTTTCTAGGAATTCTTGTTTTCCTAGATCTGTTTACATATAGAGCACCTTCGCCATAATTTCTTCTAAACAATATACACATAGTCTAACATTATACAGACAATATACCACATCTACACATTATACACAGCGTGCATTGTTAACTTGGGGTCTGGGGTTAACGGTACTCTATTAGGGCATTCCAGGTGGGTGGACAGAAGAACGTGCTCTTCCAAAGCATGCCTTTTGCCTACAGCAGCTGAAAGCTTGTAAACATGCATTTTTTATTACATACTTTCACTGCCAGCAGGGCGTATACATTAATTGCTGAACAAAGATGCAGTACCCGCCTTCAATATGCTTCCACCCCGAACGGGTTGTGAAAATATAATAATGACTTTTTCCCATCCTTTAATGAATCCGAAATGAGAATCAATAAAACGTAAAAAAATTTTTATCAAACACTTTTCAATTGTTATTTTCTTTGTCCATCCATCTACGATGGGACATCGGGTTGCCGAACAAGTTGTTAAAATCTCCAACCATCACTTACTGACAACCCATTCATACCTATTTTTTTTGCTTATTAGGATGTCAACATTGACATCACATGGAGCGGATTGAACTTGAAGCGCAGTTCCAAATGATATTTTTTTTTTGTTAAGGGTCCACACGTTTTAAGATATTAACCCTTCATAAGATTTTTATTTGTTGTTTGGTTCAATTTACATACTCTAAAAAGCTTTTGAGGGTAATCTCATATTCTGTCACTTATAGCTATTATTTTCCTGTGGGCAGTGAATTTGAAACAATTTCTCTGTGACACAAAACAACAGAAGTGAGCGCCTTGCATTGTCACAAGCCTTGGCAATTTACAGTTGCTTGCTTCTTTATTTGTGCAGATATTTGGGGCATGTGGTCCAGCATGTCGGTTCTGCGCACCTCTTGACAAGTGGGCGTTTTTCCAGGCTCCTCTTTTTTGGTGGCTATCATGGTTGAGTAGACTCGTAACATGGACTGTTTGTGTTGGAACTGGGCTGTATATTCTGCATATGGAATATTTCACACTGATTATCAACTTCCATTCTCTTGTCTGATGTACGTTTCTTATAGTAATAAGGTTCATCATCAATAGCTGCGAATTGGTTCAAAACATGGTTTTATTGACCCACTTTTCCATTTAATGGACAGGATATTTGAAAAGAATCCTGTGTAAGAACTTGTCACTGATAAAACGTGGTATATTTACACTTCTTATTATACATTCCATCTTTCCCCCCCCCCCTATATGTATATCAAAACTATAAATTTTGGCACAATATAAAGTGATAAACTTAAATGTCCTTCTCGAACCTGCCATGCCTCTCTTCAGTGTGGTGGATTTTTTTCAGATCGTCGTCAACAAGCAAAGCTATACTGCCGTTTGATTGGTTGTTAAACGTCCAATTCAATGGACTTGAGGGTTCAAGTGGTGTTAAATGTTGCAAAACGTAAAAAAAAGCCCCTGTCATGTGACGTCCATTGTAATGGACGCAGGGTCTGAAGGGGTTTAGCGTGCTGTCCTATCTCTGTGATTGCAGTGATTTAAAGACATTTTATTTCTGTTGTCTGTTAATAATGTGATTACAGAACTTTACATGTTAGAAAAATATTTTTATTTTCTCATTTTGCCACAATCTCACCAAATAATATATTTTTCACATTTTCAGACAATTTACAGTCATTACAACAAGTGTATTGCTTAGAAAATATATGAACAAGAACTTACATGTTTTTGTCAATTTCCTCCGTTATATCAAATAAATTTTTTACACAGTACACCTATACTACCAACAGAGTAGGTATACAGCAATTAGATAAAAATGTAATTTAAATATTTACACATCACTCCTCATTGCATTGTTTCAGGTTTCAGTAAGTGACTCCATGTTGGGTCCTCAGCCACAATGTCATCGTCCAGTTTTCTCAAAGAGGTACAGGGTTTTATTTTTCCACTGCGCAATACTATAATATTTTCAAGTAGGTCTGCAACAATACAGAAAGTGCCATCCAGGATTCAGTGCAATAACAACAACAGTGGTGGAGTAATGGTCATTAAACCTACACTGTCAAGAATTCGTGGAGTTCTTTGTGTCGTTAAAGTAGTCTACATACATATAACTCAAGCTCCATTACTCACACCCTCAAATACAGAAAAAGTTAACCCAATTGCAATTTTTTTCCAATATTTGGATATCTCAAATAAATCATCTCATCTCTGCCATTATAATCTGACAAAGAGAAACCTGAGAATGCAGGCGCCCAAAATCCCTCAGTAAAGTTTCATTTAAATGTGCAACAATATCTTCATATAAATAAAACATTTGTGCTCATATATAAGTGATTACTTTTTAAAAAATGCTTCTTTGTTGTTGTTTGTTTTAAGTTTGTTGGTTTAGTAGCTGCATATAAAGCTCCTGTCCATCAGTTACTAAAATATGAGACAAAATAAATTAAATCAACTAAATAAAATAAGGTCAGTGGTTGAATTTAAATAAATTATCCTCCTTCTCTTAGATCTTCACTTCGGACCTACACATTCACTGTGTAACCTTTTCCACGTTTCCTACATAACTTGCGGAACCATGCCCAGTAGAGGACAGTCATAACCAGCCAGTAGCACACGTAGACCACACAGCCAAAGATAAGAAATCTGGTCTCTAATTTCTTGGCTTGAGTTGACCAGTCCAGTTGACTCTCCTTGTAGATTCTGTAAATGAGCCCACTTAATAAAATGGTTGCCCACACTGACAAAGGGAGGAGAGGCATGTAGTTTCCTACTATCTTACGCCTGCCTGATGTCCCCCAGCTGCTTTTGTTCATGGTGAGAATGGCAAAGTACTTAGCAGGCAGCAAGCTGGTCATGTACATAACCGAGTACAGGGACATAAACACCATCACCATGTTTCTGCGCAGGATGCAGGCGTAAGCCGCTTTCACCAGCCCAATCAGCTGGATGCAGCACAGGATCCAGAGGAGGTCCCACAGTGTGCCTGTCCAAAACAGCTGGATGATGGTGGCGGTGACAAAGAAGGGGAAAATGCCTGAGACGATGGACTCGTAGGTCATCCAGAGGTGGTGCTTGTGCCACCACATTGCATTGTACAGCCACTCACGGAAGTAAGATTTTGTCCAGCGAGTTTGCTGGTTGAGCCAGCGCAGAAACTGAGCAGGTGTCTCTGTGTAGCATTTGGAGCGGGCCGTGTATCTACAGAAAAGGGCAATAATAACATCTATGAAACCTTGGAAACCTTCACATCAAAGAATCACACTATCGAGATAATTGTGTCTGATGTCATTTCTGTGAACAATATTGATACGCTTCTTACTTTGTGCCATAGCCCATGCTCAGCATACGGTTGGTAAGATGTCTGTCGTCACCAAATGTGCAGTGACTTCCCAAAAACTTCTGATTGTACCAGGACTCCAGAAACTGCTGGAGGAGATCGTTCCTGTACAGACCTTCATGGAGCAGTTCAAAAAACCACAAACAAAATAAGTATTAGTGACAATGTGCACATTAAAGCCACGACTACTCCTGCTTGACATGTAGAATCATTACTTTGATACACATCACAGAAAAAAAATAATCTTTCCTTACCCAAAGGACCGCTTATGCAGGACACACAGTTGAAAAAGGACTGGCAGGCCCTCTCGATGTTGAAAGCCATCCAGTACCTAAGACTGCTCATGAAGCTGATGTAAGAGTCTTTCATATTAAGGACCATCACATCTCCTCCCACAGCACCTAACTTCGGGTTGCTCTCCAACACTTTACACAGCTCCACGGTGGCCAGAGGGTCCAGCTTGGTGTCCGAGTCACACACCTGGGGAATGAGAAATGTCATAAAAACATACTTTCATAAAATGTACATCGGGAGTATGAATTCTAAGAGAAAAATAGATACCTGTATATAGTCCACTGATGACCCGAGTGCTTTAAACGCTGTGTACATCACCTCCCGCTTGCCGCCCCACTTCTGCATGATGCACACGCACCTGTTGCTTTGGATAAGGCGCTCTACCTCTTTTCTCTGTGGATCCTCTCCTATGCTATAATCAGCATCGCCTCCCGGACCTATTTCCACGTCTTCCTGGGCCTGGGTGGGGTCCCATGTATGGTAGTTGTTCTTCCACACATAACAGCTAGGGTCTTTGTCAGCAAACACCTCTCTGAACATGTCCATCATGTATCGGTCATCATCTGTGTTCCCGTCTATCACCATGATGATGCGCAGCAGCTCAGGGGGATACATTAGAGCCCTGATGGACTTGAGGCACTCCCTGAGATAGACGGGGTCCTCCTGGAAAGCCGATATAGTGAAGCCGATGGTTTTGGAAAAGGTGCACGCATCTGTGTGAGCTTTCATCCGCCGGTGTTCAATGAAGGCGAACAAGCTCTGGATCATCACATGGAGTCCAAGAAGTAGTCCATAAAAACCAAAAGACATGATTCCATATATGGAGGACGCTAGCTGGTAACCATCCACATATGCCCACACCATCAAACCCAGCACCAGCAGAGCAAAGAGGAAAGTAAAGATGGCACGGATTATTGAGCCCAGCTTCTTCAGTAAAGGTTTCAACTCCATTGTGTTTCTTTACCTTAAGAGACACAAAGACACCACATGTTATGGCTTCTGCTGGACCTGGTCGTGCTGAAAATGTACACAGTCATTCACTGTGGTTTGGGAAAAAACGTGTGTATTAAATGTAATTAGTTGTTTTATGTGCACTGTTGTAAGACACATTAACAAGCTATACAAGTCGGAAAATAGGACAGCTACCAGACCTGAGAAGTGTATGCGCCCAAAATCCTTCAGTACAGTTTCATTTAAATGTGCAACAATATCTCCATATGAATAAAACATTTGTCCTCATATATAAGTGATTACTATTTTTAAATGCATTTTTTGCTTGTTTTAAGTTTGTTGGTTTAACAGATGCATATAAAGCTCCTGTCCGCCAGTTACTAAAATATGAGAGAAAATAAATAAATGAAATCTACGTAGTAAAATAAGGTCAATGGTTGAATTTAAATAAATTATCTTCCTTCTCTTAGATCTTCACTTCAGACTTAACGTTAACATTAGGGCCTACTTAAACTTCAGCTCCAGTCTATTACTTTTAAAATCCTGTGTGCCAAGACTGTTAATCCAAGAATGTAACTCTAACTGTGCCTTACTGTATAAAAATACGTGAAAACAATCCAGGTGACATATCAGTGACAATCCATAAGACATATATTTTTTACTTATTTGAACATATTCAATGATATCTTACATATATATATTTATTTAAAACAATGTAGAACATTTAAAATACTGCAGATTAACTATAAACTATAAACTTAAGCACATTATCTAATTCTGATACAAAACTGTAGATGACCAAAAAAGTCACTATAAGCAATAAGTAACACCCGTGTTTATCAATTGACTAAATTCATAATCAAATAATAAATAAGCATTAACTAATAAGAGTAAATATGAATGTAAGATATAAAAGCACCAGGCATCTTACCACTAGCAGAAATCTGATATCTGTTTTTAAATCATATCATCATTAATAACTGACCATGATTCTGTTTTTATTTGAATTACAACTAGCAACAATTCAAATTTAATTACATTGTATTTATGAGTCTACAAGCAATTTATCAGCAAAACAGGACTAAAACCCGTCACTAAGCACATGACAAAGTTTTTTATTTATTACCTTATGTCAAGTTTCCCTGGCTTTAAATTTGCGGGACATCCAATCGGTGTTTCTCTTGTCCGGGAAATTGAAGAGAAGTTTCTTGGCTTTATATGCCACCAGGTTGACACGGGATGGAGCCATGTAAGCGCTTTTTATGCCTTGGGAATGATCAATTACGCTCGCCCCCGCTGACTCAGCCGTGCGTCAGGAGCAAGGCGGTGGTCCCGCTGCCTCCAGTGTGCGCGGCGCATACGGCCGCTTTGTTTTTTGCTATAGAGATGATCTGTCATAAAAGTCTGTGACAAGACTGAAAGAGGTTTCCAAACTTTTTTCGCCATGGGAGCTTCAAATAGACACATTGGAGACCAAATGTTTGACGTTTTTGTATATTTTCTCATTGTTTTAACTTGTAATCCATATTTCTTTATCTGGAACCTCTAGGAGGACTTCTGGGGTTGCCTTTTATGAAGTTTGCTCTTATCTCAACCACAATTTGCCTCTTACAGTTAACTTTAACCTGCCTCAGACTTAAATAAATAACTAAATTATTAAAAAATATTATAAATACTAACCAATCCCTAGTTTAACAACACACATAAACATTTTATTTCATTTTGCCAATTCAACTGTAGCTTAAAGGTGTATACAGGTATATAGGGTATCTGTGCAGATATTGCAGTCAGTAGACAATTATTCTGTTCTGCCAGAAACTGTACTCCACTGAGCAGAATGTAGAGGTATTCAATCACATTCACCTTGAGAGAGAAGATAAGTAATCCCAGAAGCTGCAATCAAGCTTTTACAGAGGTTGGATGTTGCCCTCTGCTGGCTCCCATCTGAAACTGCAAAAGTAAAAAAAAAATATATATATAGTAGGAAGTTGTGAAGTGTAATAGGAGAGGAGGTCAAATTGGTGTCAATGAGTAAAAGGAAGTATTGTCTCTTTCACTTCTAATCTCTGACTCCAGATGGCTTAAGTTGCTCCTTCTGGTTCATTGAGTTGCTGCCACTGTCCTGACTTGATTACCATGATTACATCCCTGGATAGTTTCTTTACGGGGAAATCTGTTGACCGCTCATGAGGGTCCACACCCTTAGCCACAGGAGCTGGCCTGAGCCGTCAACAAGCCACCAGGCAGCTTATGTCATGTGTGATGGCTGTGCCAGACAAGGGATGGATGAACTGGCTTAACATCCTGGTTATTGCATGTGGGATGATGAGATCTGTATGTTTTCATTGATGTGCTTTACAGCACTGTGCTGTAGAGCATTGGTTCCCAACCTTTTTTCGTTAAGGGACGCCTTTTTCTATCATTTCTAACTGATGACCTCTGACATATTTTATGAATGTTTCATATTATATTCAATGCATAAGATAAACATTACACAACAACTGATAAAATGTACAATGAACTGAGCAGAATACTTCCTGTTAATATTACATCACAGAAGAGTTTTCTTGATATTTTTAAGAGGTATTTATACAATTCTCTGGCTGTATTATGTATTTAAAAATATTACAATTACAATCTCAGCATTTTCAGTTTCCTGTTTTTACAAGTATTGTGTAAGTTGTGTTGGGAGTTTTATCTCTGTGGTTTGGGTATGAAATATCAAAAGGAAATAAGCTCTCTTACTGTTTGGACATTGAAAATGTCACTGCTGAGTCAATGTTTCAGAATGAAGATGTACTGAGAGGTACAAGGCTCCGTTACTCATGTATGAGCATAGGTGTTTATCAGCACCAGACAGGAAAACATTTAAATGTGAGGGTACATTTATGTATTTAAAAATATTACAATCAGACATACCTAACAGGCGTTAGGCGTTTTGTTTTCCATGATGCTTGCAGTGCTAATGAGTCAAAGAAAACTGTGGCACATGTATAGCATCTCTATTCCACGACACCACGTTTGACTGAAGTTTAAGTTCATGAGTGCACGTTTCACTGCCCAGCAGGTCCTTTTTTTAGATGTCCAGGAGGAACAAGAGGATGGTGATTTAGAACAGGAGGAGGTATCTGAAGAAGAAGATGGGAAAGAATACGACCCAGAGCACGATCAATCATCTTCCGATGAAGAAGAAATCCCCTGAGCTGAAAGAGAGTTTAAGATAAACAAACTGTGAGCAATAAATTGCACAAAAATACCAGATGTAGCAAAAATTATACAAATTAAAACTTTTTTGTTTTTCATTTGTCAGAAGGTTCAATAAAAACTCTTTCATGGTTCAGGCATTACAGACTTTAAAATGATAGGAACCATTACCATTTAAAGAACCTCCTTGCTTCATTTGGTACAATTTTCTGTTTAGAAACGTTTTAAGTACTTAGTACAAAATATATAAATATTATGGGACGATGGGATCATTTCTCATTTCTTGCTCCTGTGGTAAATAACCCCTTACTTGCCTCCTTCCTGTTTAGGTACTGGATTTAGGAGATTGTGGGAGGTAGGGATAATTCATGTGAATGATCTGTATGACTGGTTTGGAAATGTATGTTTTAGAGCAATCCCAATTCTTTAGATACTTGCAAATGAGGAGTTATGTTCATTCGGTTCCCCAGTACAGAGGGAAGGCGGAGATTTGCTTTTTGGAAAAATGACTGGTTAAAGCTGCCACTGTACCTAAAAAGACATTGCACACTGAAATTGTAAAAGGGGAGAAAAATGGATACAAACACATAAGCAAAGAAGATTGGGAAAAAAGTTTATTAAATGCAAAAAAGATATGTTGCTCAACTATGTCTCATGAAAGAATTGGGCTCCAGAAGTACATGAATGTATCAATACTGAATTGAGACTTTGGACAATGTATGTATGTATGTATATTCAAGATTTATATTGTGGATCTTTGACTGCTTCTAGTAATGAGATATGTTTTACACTGTTGCTTCCTGTGAGTGAAAGAGAGAGTGAGTGTGTATGTGTATGTAACGTATGTTGGCTCATGTGAATATTATGAACATTTGATGTATTTCCTATCTTTGTGTTTGATAGGAAATGTGTCACTTGTGTAACATATTTGTCTGTTTTCCCTCAGGTTAAGGGTGGAGGGTGGGGAGGGTTGTACATGATTATAATTGTCATGGTGTACAAATATGAATTTTGTTTTTACAATGTACAAATGAATATGGAGTATTGTTGCTGCTGCTAATAATATTGATAAAAAATATTGAACAAGATAGAATATAATTCATTTATGTGACTGTTTTCTGTGACATTGATACTTGTCAAAAGGTTGCTGCCCTTTCAGGCAGTATATGCACAGCAAGCCAGCAAAGTATAGAATAAAGATACGGGTGGTCAGTAATGCACAATCCAGCTACGCTCGGAAGATACACAGGGAAGCTGACCAGTGGAGGCCTGGAGAAGAACCAGGGCATGCGGGTTGTGCTTGCTGTGGCAGATGGACAGAGGGGGCACAATTTCTTCACATCTTATGAACTCGACCAGCAGCTCCTAAAGAGGAAGATCACCATGGTTGGCAAAGTTAGAAAGAACAAGCCTGGGCGCCTGGTTCACTCATTCGGTAGAGCTGGCGACCCATGGCCCGGGTTCGAATCTGACCTGCCCCCCTTTCCTGTCTATCTTCGGCTGTCACTATCAAATAAAGGCAATAAAAGGCCAAAAAAATAACTTGAAAGAACAAGCCTGAGCCTCCCACCTGCACTCCTCACAACAAGGGGGAGGGACGCCTGCTCATCAAAGTTCATGTTCTCCAAAAGAAGAACAAGAATGTGGTCCTCCTGAGCACACTGCACAAAGCGACTGAGATCAGTGATCGTGAGGACAGGAAACCAGCCATCATCCTGGACTACAACCACAACAAAGGGGGCGTGGACAACCTGGACAAGGTGATAGGAACCTACAGCTGCAGGAGGAAGACTGCCCGCTGGCCCCTGGTCATCTTCCATAACATCATTGATATGTCCTCATACATTGCCTTTGTGATATGGAACAAGATCAATCCCAACTGGATGCCTGGCAAGCGGCAAAAGAGGCGGATGTTCCTGGAGCAGCTGGGAAAGGCACTTGTTACTGCAAACATTCAAAAAAAGGGAGCGCCTCCCCCGCACAGCAGCCTCTGCAGAACTTGTGAAAGCTGTTGAGGGAGCTGAATCTTATCCTGATCCACCTGAGGCTGCAGCTGGGGAGGGAAAGAGGAGGAGATGCCAATTCTGCCCACCAAAGAAGGACTGTGAAACAAGTATGACCTGCTGCACATGTGAGAAATACATCTGCAAAGTCCATACACACAAAATTGCCTACTGTCCCGCATGTATTACTTAAATTTGATTGGTTTACTGTATGTTCTTCACGTTTTGGTTTGTATCTGTTATCTTATTTTATTCTTATTCATTGTTGTTTATTTATGTTGTGAGGTGGAGGCTATGGTTAAAAAAAAAATACTATTTTCTTGTACAGTATAACATACTATGTTGCTAAAGACTGTTATTGTTTCCCTATAATAAAATTCATTCAAAACCACTTTTGGTAGGTTGTGAACCACTGCTGTAGATAATCTTGCTTTTCTGATGCAAACTCTTGTTTTATATGCTGGATCTGAGTATTGCAGTACTGTACTTTATATTCACTGTGTCATATGCAACTCATTCATTCATTCATTAAATTAATTCATTGGATATAAATGACATGGTATTTTATTGAATCTTTTCACATATTATTCACTATTATCAAATTATTGTTCGGATTGTCAGTTATGTTTCTATGCTATTTCCTTTTTATAGCTCAGTTTTTATGAAAAGGTCATGGCTAAACTGCTGGTTTGGTCTGACCCGTCCCTGGCTAATCATTGCTGAGGAATAAACTGTAGTACTCTGTGGCCACATCAAGGACATATGCTGTAAAGGACACTACAGAGAGAAGGTTTCTTTTGACCAAGCTGCCATAACTTCTAAGTAGCTGGTAAACATGGTTTGTGGAATTCTGTAGGATTCAAAACATGGACATCTATGTTGCCAGAATCAACATCCTATCCAACATGCTTCATAGAGATGAGAGCTATTTATTGTACATAGCACATGAGTTTCAGAAACCTCGTTAGGTCTTTATTTGGTGGTCAAGCAAATGTCTGGTGACTCACTCCTCCGCTCTGCGCCACACCCAAGCAACCAAAATCCACTTAAATCATTTGTGGATTTTGTGGATTTTCTCATATGTGCACCTGATGCTGCTTGATTTTTCCACAAAGAGGTTACAGAGCGGTGTCACTGGCAGGGAGTTAACTACCCCTTTAGGTGCTCGAAACTGATAATGTCCACATTTCCATTTTAATTTAAAACACAAACTTTTAAAATCCGTGCTGCACCAGGAACTCCAACTGTAATCTCATAGTTTTGATGAGCTATAGTTAAAAAAAAAAAAAGTTACTGGATAGTCAGCTGTCTACGTACCACATATGTAGCAGTGCTCCATAAGTGATTATGGAGTGTGGCCAGAGTGTGCAACATGTTTTATAGTTTGAACCCACAGAGAGCAGTGTAGCAACATTTTCTGCCCCTAGTGATTTAATGTTGGCTGACTGTAAATGTTAGGTTTGTTTCTCAACTGTTCTGTGTTGCACTGAGGCATCCTTGAGTAAGGAACATGTCTGCCCATTCACTGTTAAGTCATTCTGAGTCAGAGCTCGTAAAGCCCAAAAAGCATGGGAGGCAGCTGCATCTGTTACACAGTATATTACACTCTTTCATTCTTTCCATTTTGATTTACTGTTACGCTTACCAAAGCTATCAATTATGGTACTCAGCACTAGTGGCTTTTCAAACACACATGCTAATGACATACTTGTTTTAGACACCTGACATTTTACTGTAATGTAAAGTCTGGGTGAGAGCTGTAGCTTCTTGTCACTACTGTGTATCAGTGTGGAGAGACATGAGGAGAGAGGCAGATGGGTTTCTTTTCACACAGGATATTATTCTATTTCTAATGGTACACTAATAGACCTTAATAAACCACACTGTACACACAGCTCATCATATTGTTGACTTTAATATCTTAACTGCTCAGCCAGACGCCATGGTGTTCTTGATCCAGGAGATGTAATTGCAAACTTTTGTGTACACCCCAGGCTTTTTTCTCAGAGCACAGCCATGCCCCCAAGACACAACTCCTTGGAGTTCTCCGTCACACATCATCGGACCTCCGGAGTCCCCCTGAAGATAAAATAAAGGTGAGGTTATCTTCACTTGGCACCCTTCATATCAAGAGGCAAAATTACAATCCATGATCTCTATATTACCTGGCAGGAGTCCTTCCCTCCCTCAAGATAGCCAGCACAGATCATGTTTTCAGTGATTTGGAAAGGATATGCATTGAAGCATGTATCATCACTCAGGAGAGGGGCATCCAGGCACTGCAACTTAGCAGGGTACCTCGCTGGAAAAGACAGAAAAAGAGCAGGAATCAGTGTTTTTATGTACAATAATGGCAAGAAGAAGAGCACTCTCAGCATATACAGTCAGATTTATCTATAGCTTAAATCTACTTAACAGTGGGTAACTTACAGCCCTCATTGCTGGGACGAAGACTACCCCATCCAGAGATTTGGCACACTGTCCCATCTTTGGCACACTTTGAAGGAAGTGGAGCAGGACGTACGTAGCTGTTAAAAGTGGCAGGTCGACTCAGTTTGATCAGCATGATATCACTGTCCTGTGTGCGGGAGCTGTAATCAGGGTGACGGATAAACTTGGCAGACATGATGTGCTGTTCAGTCCCCTCAGATTCCCAGATGTCGTGCTCTCCCAGTCGAACTTCTACATTTGACCTGGAACAAATAAACAGATCTTTAAGGTTACCTTGTACTCCTGCTGCCCTGAGAACTAGCTTGAGGGGAAATCACAATGAAAAAGCCTCATTTTAGGATTTAAAACACACGTAAAAATCAATCAGTGGTAACCAGCTGCAGTAAACAAAGGTTACACATCGTCTTTCTTACTTTGTTTTGCAGTGTGCAGCAGAGAGCACCCACTCATCAGACAGAAGAGTCCCACCACAGAAGTTGTACCCAGTGAAGAGAGACACTTGGTGGGGCACAGAATTTTTTGGACACTCATACCCTCCAACGATCTTGTCATCCTCCCTCAGGGCAACTGCAGAATAGGAATAAAGAAGTGACAAAAACAGAGATAATGTCATCAGTGGATTAGCAATCTATCATTTATTCTGTACTATACCTGCCCCTCCAACGAGAGTGAGAAGAAGGAAAAGCTTCATGCCTTCTGTCTGTCTGTCTGGCCGGCAGATTAATATGCTCTCACCTGCTTAGTTTCAGGTATTTTAGTCCTCTTATCTCCTTTCTCTCAAGGTCTTCTATCGTCACAGATACGCCTCAAACACTAAACATGTGTTACATTTCCCCAGAACACTGGGTTTAATGTACAGTATAGAGTTAAAGACAGAAAACAACATTTCAGTTCAGTACTGAAAGAATAACCTGGGAAAAACAGCTTGGCAGAGGAAATTGCAAATACTGACATTTGGAATTCCCCTTTGTTAGTATGCTGTAAGTCAGCACACGCTGCATGTGTTTATGTTGTTGAATGTTTTCCATGAGATTTTGAGTAATTTCTCTCCTCATTTAATTTCACTGTGGCATCAGTAAATGTTTTATAAAACTATGTCACTATGATCAGGTTTATTACACAAGCTCACACTGGATATGGAGGTGTACTGCCTTCAAGTGAACCACAAACATTCACTTGCGGATGTTGAGTAAGACGAGTCTGTAACTTAGGTGGGGGCCAGGGTAAAAATGGGCTATTGCAAATGTGCCATTTTTATACATCCAAAGAGCCAAGAAAGACAGAAAGCAAAATATTACCTTACTGTTTTATTGCTCTGCTTACTCCTAAGAAGAAAGAATGCTATGTGTAAGCTGTGTTGCAATACATGATATGAAGATATTGATTCTGATTCTGATTCTGAACAAATCTGATACAATATCAGCATTTTCAGTTTCCTGTTTTTACAAGTATTGTGTAAGTTGTGTTGGGAGTTTTATCTCTGTGGTTTGGGTATGAAATATCAAAAGGAAATAAGCTCTCTTACTGTTTGGACATTGAAAATGTCACTGCTGAGTCAATGTTTCAGAATGAAGATGTACTGAGAGGTACAAGGCTCCGTTACTCATGTATGAGCATAGGTGTTTATCAGCACCAGACAGGAAAACATTTAAATGTGAGGGTACATTTAACCAAACCCTATGATTATACACTTAGGGCTAAAATATAACGCATTCCCATCCAGCACAGGCAAGTTCTCCCCCCCTCATTACTGTGTGGCACACACAACGTCTGCCTCATCCCTTTTGCAACCTGCATAAATCATTGCTTGTATTCTTTGATTTCAAACAAGTGCAACATCTTGGCACATTCTGCAGAAAAACGTACTCTCTGTAAAGATAAAAACATCTCAGGTTGCACATGTGTTCACTGCTGTGATCTTGTGTTTGTTCACTTGTTGTGTCTAGATTTCACTAGACCTATGCCATACATGTTCATTAAGTTTTCAATAGTAAACAGGCTGGAGGGTATTTAAGTGCCATTTATTAGAGAAAACTAAATTGCCAAAATCGTTAAAATGTGAAACAAATGCAGAGAGTCCCTGAACCAGTTGCACAGAAATGTCTTTGATAGTCTCACATATGACACCCAGATGCCTGTTTAGTTGCACATCTGCACAAAAGCATTCAGGATGTGATCAGTTGGATGAATTAAGGAGCGAGATAAATACTTTGCTGCCATCTCTGCAATCTAAAATTGCCACTGACCTTCAATAATGACAAGAACCGCAGCAATTTCAGCCTTTGCCACCCTAACCCTCAGTTACAATACATGGAAAGGATCAAAACTTCCATTGGTTTCACCATCTGGTGCTCCCAGTTTAACAAGTTCCGGTTCCTAATCCCATTCCACTGTACCTCAAAATACCCTCGGACAGACAGAGAGAGCACTGTGTCAAAGAACTGCATTGCCAGGCTTGTTTGCTGTCTGACAGAGCCCAGGCTGATTATTCATGTATCCCTTAGGTCTGCTGAGGGGGGACAGGCGTTGTGGTTGAAAGTAGGGACGAATGTAAGGAAGTGGTTTAGGTTATTGAAGTTCAGCTTTTTTTCCCTGTGTGTGGTGTATTTTGTGGAAAAAAACTGTCACTGAGCCATAGGGGCGATAGACGTTGGCATTGGTTTTGACTTGAAAAACAAAATTCCTGACCTCTCCACACTCGTGAGACAAGGGTTTGATTTCCAGTCAGCACCGCAACAAGATCAACAAACCTCTGAGGTTTCAGCATACAGCAGATTCCCACTATTTGAGTCTTTATGACAGTGTCTAGAAGTTTCAACACAACAGTTAGTATAGTGTACCACCGTTTCACAAAAGGATTTAGAAATGCTGTGAGCTCACAGTGTTTTGTAACAGCAACGAAAAATACTGGGTTTAGTGACGTGACGCTCTGAGACAGAGTATGTCATTAGTACTTCAGTGTCCCATAAACAAGTCTTACATACATTTTAGTTGTGCCTTTCAGGTTTCCCCCCACCCTCCCAGCTGTTTTAGTGAATAATAAACCCCCAAACTCCAACTGCATATATCACCCTCTGCTAAAACTAAATTCCCTTTAAACCTCCACTAGTTGTTTTACACACCCAAATTGGTATTTGCGCGGCATACACATAATTGCACGTTTGGTTGGTAAATCAAGAACTCTGGCAAGCCCTGGGCTCTGAAGGCTTCCCTCAAACTATAGCCTTGGGATAGCTATTAATATCCCCTACAGACACCAGCAAACTGCTCTGCCTTTAAATTCTGTTGCAAAACTATACAGGAACAAAAAAACACACACACATTTTAGCACAGAAATGAGAAGTGGAGTATGTATTGCTCTACGTGATCATAATCAAATTAAAGAGAGCAGTCATAACGTCTAGACTTTAGCTAAAACAGTAAAGTCTTTTTGTGTTACAAATGGATCCGAACACTTCACTAAAGCAAGCGATGAAGTTAACTGGGTCAGCTTATTTTAAACTGTTTCCTGTACTTAAAATGAATTGTTTTTGGACCTGGTGTAAAATATCTCTCAGGGCTCACATGCTGAATATTTATGTATCCAGAGAAAAGGGCAATGATAACACAGACAATCCTCCTACACACTCGAATAAGGGTGTTGCTCTGAACTCATGCAGAGACTGAGAGCGAGTACATGGTTACATATACACAGATATGTAGTGTCTCTTACTCTCTCTCACTCTCTCTCTCTCTTCGCTTACTTCCTCCCCCTCACATCTGGACTATTGGCATGACACAGTTCCTGTGTGGTGTGTGTGTGCATTAGCGGGGGACTCAGTTTTAAGGTTGGGCAGGTTCTAGCAGCTCACACTGTGCGAATATGATTCGTTCAAGATTTTGGCCTCATTGTGTTTCACTGTGTGAACAACTGTTGTGGTTTAGATCATGAGAGCCACTACCATCCCTAAGATGCTTCTTTGTCCGATGAACTGTTAATATCCTAACCTCTGAGATAATCTATTATTAAACTGAATGTTACAGTTTTTATGTAAAAGTTATGGCGTTTTATGCCGTTTTAATTCAGCACATATCATTTACATAATGGTTTTATTCTGTAAGTGACAAAATTGTGTGTTGTGCCAACAAGTTCGCTCTCTATGATGTTGAAATGAGAATTGCCAATACCAGTTTATTTGAAATTGAAGCTGGAATAAACCAGCTGTTTTCAGACTGTGAAAGATTTTGGCCAAGTGCTTTTCAACATCTCTTTAATTCCCATTGATGAAGTTGGCTTATCGAGATGCTGTTCAAGCAGGGGCGGATCTAGAGGGGTGGCATGGGGTCAAATGGCATCAAATTTAACATATTAATGTAGATTTTGTTTTGAAATAGTGTGTTATCAAAAAAATTTGACCTTGTTTACTTACTTGTTGGTATTGTTGCTTTAACTTCAGGGAAGAAACACATTATTGGACAAGTTGTGTTTTGTAATTTTTCACTGGAACCAAAAAACATTTAACTCACAACCGTGTCATACAGATGTACAAATGTGTGGGTAGTGGGGCAGCAACACCAAAAGGTAAAGACAAACCATGTGGGAGGAAATACCATGAAGTAAAACACTCTGATTAAACATTTTTCCCCACTGAAAGGTAGGGCTATACTCTGAGGACATGAGAAGGATTTTCAGACCTCTCCAGCCAACACTCCCCCATGTCCATGCCTCCATATTGCTTTTATTACTGAAGTTTCACAGTTTCCACCTCTGTCTGTTGTTATGCTTTTCTGCAGAGTTTTCTTCTTACACATTTGATCATTTCAACAACAAAAAATGTTAATTGCATGAACCTTCAGCATGTTAGGAAGTAAGATCTTGGGAGTACAGAAGCACCGGAATTGTGCCAGGCAGGTTTTAAAGACATAATTGCTAGGAATTACAGCTTAGATTTGCTTCAGGGTGTGTATGAATTCTCTTTTGTTTTAAGCTTGCAATCAGGTCTGCGGTTGTTTGCCAGCCCTGTTTGATAGTGATTCACCTTTGCACCTTTTGGCATACACCGTAATGTCAAATGTTTTAGGAATGCATGGTTCAGTGTAATGAGTATTTCCCAAGGACCAAAAACATACCTTCCTATTCCAAGAAGTTCCTTTTTTAACTTTAGAGTTCATGCAAAATTCTGTTGCAATTAACTACAGAAAATGACTAACTTGCAAAAAATAGAAAACCACATTGTATAGTTACTGTTTGAGTGCTTTGTAGTGGTGTATTTTCTTTCTCAAATTTCCAACTAATGAGTATACTTTTCTAACATTTCAAATATAGAAACTGCACTTGATACGTGTTTCATGACATAGATGTGAGCACAAAAGAGGATGCTGACCAATAGTAACATACCACTGTATGCAGAACTGTGAAGTTGTCCCAATAATATCACCCAAAATTTAAATTGTTGTTCCAGATCTTTTTTGTTTGCAGGTTTGAATCTACAGAGGCACCACTGTAATGTGTCCAGCTTGTAAATGGACAGTGGCACAGAGGGAGTAGCCTGCTATTTTATAAAACTGCAAGGCAACCCTAAATTATCGACAGATGCTGCTGTGACTTTCCTATTCGCAGCGCAGGCTGAAGAGATGGGACATTAAAAATACGCAACCTATGTCCAGATGGCGATCCAACATAGAGCTATTACACTTGACCTCAAGCAAACATGAGCTCAAACCACGTAGAGAAAAACACATTACACAGCAGGATCACTGGTGCACATGAGAAGTCGCAGCTCCACTCTTTCTCAGGTAGTCATCTACAACAACCTACAATTTATGCATTTAGGTGTTTGGTTACTTGGTGTTTTCACTTGTGGAGTTTCCCAAAGGACAAAGGCTGCAACATTTGAGGAAGACGTGTCCCGGCAAGAGATTTGTGTCACACTTGCAGATAAGAGCTCCTATTGAGACAGCAGCATGTATCACTATTATGCCATTGCAGAGGGAATAAACTGAATGTCTGTATGTTACATACACATATACTGCATCTTCATACTGTAGACCAGCTTTAGGCTTTAGGAGGGGCTGGCATGCAGCCTGAGGTCCCGCCTCCAGGTGACGTCACTAAGGAGTCAGGGATCAGAACTCCACAATTCCCGCAGACTAGTCAGACTCGTCCGGTGTTGCCTTTGCAGTAGACACATCCTCATCGGACTGGCGAGTTGAGAAAGGTACTGTACTTTAGTTAACCTCAGAAATAGACAATAAAAACATCTGATGACGGCTGTATAGCAGGCTCTGGGATTCGAACCGCCTTTAAGAGACTAGGCTGCTTTTTAGGGTAGACAGATGTCTTTATGAGCAATTAACGGCGCTAATAGTACTGTCAAACCTAACCTTGTGTCTGCAGTGCGTGGGAACGCTTTCTTCAGTGCAGCTGAGTGGTTTTCATCCACTGTGGTCAGACTGATCATAAGTTCTCAAATTCTGTTCCACTTTTTGCGTGCCTTGAGGTGAATGTCAATCATGAGTACATTTGTGCGCGGTTTATATGTGCATGCTGTGCAAGACTTCTAGACTTTCCGTTTTGTTTTTTAAACCTCAGCCTAAAAAGAACCTATCCGTTTCATAAAGATTCGTCGTGTTGTTATCGTGACTGTTGTCCATGTGAACAGCATCGTCTATAGGCCTTTTTGAGGAACTGAACTAATTGAAGGTAAAATTTCGTTTTCAAGAATGCTCTTAAAACTTTTAGTGAAAATTCAATAAAAAAATAACCTCATGCATAAACATTTCTTTTTCTTTTTATTGCAGATCTCACGACAATGATGGAGCTAATGACTGCTACCCCTTTCTATCACATCAATGCAACAGATGCCACTGGGAAAAATGGCAGTTTGTATGAAGATGACGAGGAGTATGACTATAAGGACGAGCATGCTGAGCTGAGACAGTCTCTCAACATCATGTCTCTCATTGTTTACAGCCTGGCCTTTGTTCTTGGTGTACTCGGGAATGGAGTGGTGATCTGGGTGACCGGGTTTAAGATGAAGAAAACAGTTAACACAATTTGGTTCCTCAACCTTGCCATTGCCGACTTCCTCTTCACAGCATTCTTGCCCCTGAGTGTGACGTACACAGCTTCGAATTTCCACTGGCCTTTCGGCAGGTTCATGTGCAAACTGAACAGCACTATAAGCTTTCTGAACATATTTGCCAGTGTCTACATTCTGGTGGTGATCAGTGTGGACAGATGCGTGTCTGTGGTGTGGCCAGTCTGGGCCCAGAACCACCGAAGTGTACGCAAGGCGTCCTGTGTGAGTCTGGGTGTTTGGGTGCTGGCTCTGATTCTCAGCGCTCCATACTTCTTCTTCAGGGACACAGGGCCATCATATAACAATGAAGACATCATCAACTGCTTCAACAACTTTGCTTTTTCTGATGATTATGAAACACCGTCTGTGAATCACCTGCGTCAATTTCGTCATCAGGCCATGACCATTACTCGCTTCCTCCTGGGCTTTGTAGTCCCCTTCACTGTCATTGTCTCCTGTTATGCAATCCATCGTCTCAGAAGAAACCGCACCCTGGCCAGCAATCAAGTCGCACTTTAAGATAAATTCCTGCCTTATCACCACTTTTTTTCTGTCTGGCTCCTATTCAAAATCATGCTCTTATTGAGTTGGTAATTTACGGCTACTAATACAAAGTAAACATTATTCCATGCATCACTATCGGGATCCCATACAACTCAGCCGGCCTTTTCTCAACACTGCCTAACCAACTGCTTATTTTCATGTGGTTCAATATTTCAAGGAAGCCGCAAATCCATCTGAATTGTACTGAGACTGCCTCCAGGAGGAAGATAACAAAGTCAACATACACCAGTCAGAGCAGAGGAAGTGATGCATAACACGGTGTAAGATTGTGTACATATGGACAGGAAGTAAACTGTACATCATTGGACAGAGATATAAAGTATGTTAGTTAGCCAAATGCCCTAGATCTGTGTCTCTCCTCGCAATCAATCTTTTTGCTCTTTTTGCACATAAAATCACTATTGAATGTGGTATTTCTCTACAGTGACTGAGCACGCTTGCATCCAATCTCTACGTTCTACTAGCATCCATGTAAGACACCAGAAAATGTTTCACTTAAATGTACTTCTGGTTGATAAATTTTTTTTTATGCAAGGACAGCTATTCATCTAATCAATAAACATGGAGTTAGTATAATCTTATGGTTTTATTTTGTATTTATGTTTTGCTTTACTTTGGTTCCATCCCTTAATCGTGGGACAACATGAACGGAGAAAGAATGTATGACACCTTATCTCCCATAAACTTTAGCCTATATTTTTGTTAACTGCCATAAGAGCTTTTATTTTGATTTTATGTTGTTTGAATTCTATATGAAATGATGAGTTATTTGTTGTTTCCAGTCTGATTCATCTTTTATTAAATACAAACATATCTGACTTTTAACTGTTTTCTACTCATTGTGCATATTATATTACTGCATCATTTTACAAAAACTGATAATACTGCAAGATGGTTTGTTGATAATTTCTAATAATTATAGATTTGTTTAATAATAATTATTTTGACAGCAGGAACTGTTTTAGATATTTATAGTCATAGCCAAATTATCCATACCCTGGCAAATCTTGTACTTAAAAAGTA